TTCTTTTTCTTTTTCTTTTTCTTTTTCTTTTTCTTTTTCTTTTTCTTCTTTTTCTTTTCTTTCTTTTTCTTTTTCTTTTTTTCTTTTTCTTTTTCTTTTTCTTTTTTTTTAAGTCACTGCATTATGACTACTGCATTGACTGAACAAATATTTTTACTTTGGAGTGAAATAATTTCATCTTCTTGTTTTTCAATACCTCCCCTCACATAAACTGTTCTGTTCGAATCAGTGGGCTTTTCTGTTGCTCTGGGTCAGAAAGTAGAGGTTTAGGAGACAGAATTGTAGCCAATAGCCCTCAATATATAGTAGTGCAAACTAAATGAGTGCTTCTGCTCTGGATGTGCAGAGGGATTTTTTAGTTTTTTGATTGTTCGTTTGTTTCCTTCCATTCTGTTTGCGAATATTACGAAAATAGGATTCTGTTGTGCATATATATAATTCAACACCACACCGCATGGTTAAGCACGCTGCCTGGGACTGCGCTAAATGTGGTTCTCTGGTGCCATCAAGTGCCCACTGCTCACTGCTGCTTTACAGTATTGAAGGTAAAAGTGTACTTTAATTGCTGAGCTTTCTGTCTTTTCGCATGCATCTATTTGCTGGTGAACAGAAAGAAATATGTTTTGTTTTGTATTGGTGTTTCATCAATATTTGTACATAATTACTCTTTTTTATTTCACTGATCAATAGACAAACCACAAAAGCCTTTTATTTTTCTAACTAAAACAAGAAAGAAGTCTAAGATTGTAGTATGGGTTTCCAGAAATTAAGGAACCATGCAATCATCAGAGCAAGATTCAGCCTCTGCAAGGACTCTGTATAGAACATATCTGATGCCCACCTATTTTTACAGTTACTACAATTCTGCATGTTTCTCAAGCATCTTAGGAAAGCATTTCTAGAGAAGTCTGTTTGCTAGCTACCCAAAATAACAGCTGCTTGATGTGGGGGCTAGAACTGCTATTAGAGTTCCATGCACACTTTCATTTTATAGTCAGAATCAGTAGCATCTACGGAAATGGTCTCTGAAAGGCTTGCAAAAAAACCCACTCACCTGTTCTTTCCATTTCTTGAGTTCAAATGTTCTCTTTGCTTTCATGTTTTCATATACAGTGATGAAATTCCAAGGGTTGGATTTGTCCTGGCTTATGGGAAACATCAACTGATAGCTCAGCATCTGATCCTGTGTCATTTCAGAGCTTTCTAAAGGTATATCCTCAGGCTCGGTGGAATCTGGAAAGGAATTTTATTAAGGTGAATAACTACAGTGACCTTTAACACTTATTTCTCCAAAGGAAAAAGGTTAAAAAAGAAAGAGGAAGACCTCACACACTCTCCCCCCCTCCTCCCCCCCCAAATCCCCAGAAAAAATGTAATACCTCCAACAGATCCACTTCAGCTGGAGAAGAAATAAATTACATTAAGCCTTTTGTTGTAAAGTCATTCTGGCATGGAGAAATGGTTCCAAACTTAAAGAGGGTAGATGTAGGTTGGATATAAGGAAAAGGCTTTTAGAGTAGGGTGGTGAGGCACTGGAATAAGTTGCCCAGAGATGTGGTGGAAGTCCTGTCCCTGGAGACATTCAAGGTGAGGCTGGACCAGGCCCTGAGCAACCTGATCTAGTTGTGGATGTCCCTGTTCACTGTAGGGGAATTGGACTAGGTGACCCATAAATGGGTCCAATCTAATCCTTCCAATCTAAGGATTCTGTGGTTCTATGATTTGGAATCACTCCACTCCTAAAGATTGAGCTGCAGACTCTCTGTCAGAAATGAAAAATCTTTCTTGACCACAGTGGGTTGTAGCTGCTTTGCTAGATGCAGAGAGTCTTGAGAGAACCTTTTTTTCTTTTTCTTTTTTTTTTTTTTTCTTTTTTTAAATCAGTATGTGTTTCAATTTTTACTTAGGAGGTGATTTGGTCCAGACTTGAATTCATGGTATCCTGTAGTTTGTTCTGCAGCTTGCCTCACATTTAACAATGGGTAGCAATTCACAGGAGTTGGCAGATGCACACCTTGGCCTGCAGTGAATTGAATAGTCAGGGAATGGAAGAAACTGTTTGTATTTGCCTGAGCATGGCCCCTATGCCTGTACCTAAGTTAGAGACTGTGAAATCTCTGCTCTTTTGCTAAAAGCAAAAGAAGCTTTTAGCAATTGCAAGAACTCATAATGGTTGACGTGTATAAACTTGTTGTATCAGGGCAATTAATCATACAGTGACCAAAAATAACCCCTCCTTTTTTTCCCCCCTTTTGATGCTGCTCAGGGGAAAAAAAAAGAAGATTAATCTATAATAATAAAGAACGAGATTGTTATATCTTCCTAAGTGAGGGAATCTTAAGCGCTCAGTTTACTACGGTATAATCTCAGTTTACTTCCACTAATGGTAAATACTATTTTGATTCAACCATGACTGCTTTTCATATGTTACTGTGTTTCACATAACTGTGTTTCATATGTTCATATGAGTTACCTTACCATCACTACATGAACACAGCTGCAGAGAAGGCAAAAAATGATAATAAATAGTAATGTAATGAAATAACACTGAGGAAGTTCTTAGTCAGCATTTAAAGTAAGATGCTTGATATGTCTTTAAGCTCAAAGACAAATTAATAATGCACTATTTAAGATAAATTTTATTCTTAAAATGAATCCAAACACAAAATTTGCTTAGGTATTTTCATTCTCTCTCAAGACTTTTGGAGGTGTCCATTGATAAAGTTGTGAAAACATTTGACCTACTCTAGTTACTGTTTTATTACAACAGGAAAACAGCCTACAGTTCCACAAACCTTACTGTGAATAGTCTGCATCTTGCCATTGCTTCAGTGGTTTTCACTTGCCACCTGGGGCATAAAAGCCTTCTCTGAACATCTCCTGGATCTGCAACAGGATGCTTCACCTCACACCCATCTGAGCACATTTTCCTTGAAAATGCCATCTGCATTTCCTATGTTTCAAACGCGTGCATAACTTTGTCCATCCTCCCAACCTCCCGTTTCCCTGTTCCCGCAGCAGACCCGTCAGTTCCCAGCCCACCCGCACGGAGCGCGGTCGCGATCGGTCCCTACCTGCCGGCTCAGCTGAGCGCGTCCCTCCAGATTCGCTGGCGGGCAGACACTTTCCTTGGCCCTGGATGAGGGCAGAGAGCGGCCGGGTCACCCCCGACGGGATGCGGCAGCGGAGACCGTGGCGACAGCGAGTCGTGTAGACCCCGCACGACTGGCCCGGCCCGAGGGCGCAGGTCTGGCAACAGCCGCAGCCAGGCTGCCGAGCCGTCTCCGGGCAGCCGGGCTCGACGGGCGGGCAGAGGGCCAGCTTCTCCTGCGTGCACGGCGCACAGTGCAGGGGCTGCGGGGATGCGGCGGCTACGAGGCGAGGGCCCAGCAGCGCCGGCAGCAGCAGGGGCGGCAGCCAGCAGCGGCTCAGCAGGGACCGCAGGCAGTTCATGTCGCTGCTGAGGGACCGCACCTCAGCGGCGTGGGGAGCTGGAGGCAGGGTGCATACGTACATCCTGCTAGCCCGAGCCATTTATGCAGCCATTTGTCTGGCTATTAATCTTTAACCTCGAGTTAACTATTATCTGAACTAGGGAAACGTCATTTCACTGAAGGTTCAAGTTCCTGACCGCTATTCTCCTCCCCTTTCACTTTCCTCCTTTAATTATTTTTCTTCCAGACGTGCAGGATTGCCTTTATTCCCTAACCCCATCTCTCTTCCCTACCATAGTTATCAGGGAAAAAAACCTGCAGAGGGGAAACGGGCAAAGAGTAACAAATGAGTGGGTGCATCCCTTTCCTCTTTGCCCGTCAGAAATGCCTCCCGTTTTTGGCATACAGGGGTCTCCCACCTCTGGATTCACTTTTGCTGCTGCTTCTGGCATGGGAGAAATATCAATCTGCATAATAGGCACTTGACAGAAACCAGTGTTTGTCCAAGAACCCAGAGACAAACAAGATAGCTCTGCTTTTCTGACTGTCATGTTAGCCTCTTCATCTACTCATATTTCACCTTAAAACAATCTTTCTCTTTTTTCCTTTGCATACAGAAGTTGTCACTATAATGAAAGCAAAAGCATTCAGCCTTCACTGTACTGAGCAGATAAATCCTAGTATTTGCAGTATGTATTGAGCTTGAAACATCAAATTCCATTGTCAAGTTACCTGAAGTAACATGATTTTGGGTTGTGTAAGGGTTTTTTTTTTTTCTTTTTTTCTGTTGTTTTTTATTATTTTCTTTTTCTGTGTGCATGTGTGAAGATGTGTCGTTAGTGTGAAAGTGAAGCAGAATTGTAGTGTTGTTTCGTGTTTTATTATTCACTTTCGTTTCTATACTATTGAAGCCAGAGTTTTCATTTATAATTTAGTATTTATTGCATTTTTAACTCCCTAACATCTTAATTCAGTTCTTGCATTATTCATATTGGTTACAGACTTTCGTGACTTAGAGACTTTTTCACTTTACTACTGCATCTTCTATTGGTTTTCTTTTTAAAATTTTCAGGCACTCAATGGAAAGTTAAAAAAAAAAGAAATCACCATACACAAAAGGTAGCAGCTCTCAAAACTCACTTGCATTTTTAAGCATGCTGAACAAAACATTTTAAAAGAATTCTTTGGATTTCACATGTCTGTGAGTGAGAGTAGGCTCTGTCTGAAAACCCAGTGCATGACAACTTGTGCAGAAAAATTCAGCAATTAGGCTTTCCAAGGTCTAATGATTATTTTCCCTTTTTTAAATTTTTTTTTTCATGTATATCTGTAATGGAAAATGATGATTCTTCTATCAGTGTGTGAGGTGAAAATATATATAAAAATATATTTTCTCCCTCCTTCAAAGAGAAAAAAAAATAGGCAAAACAAAGTCCCTTGCACTAAGGACCATATATATATATGTGTGAAATGTAGAACCATCTGAAAAATTCAGAGACCCGAATATCTCATATGCATCTGTAAATGCATATGCATGCATTTGCTCACTTGTCTACAAGGGATGCTCCGAAAGTAATGCCTCCTATTTCATTATATTGACCCATGACATCAGAAGTGGATGTTGGTGGTATGGCAGTAGAGGCTGAATCTTCCACTGATTTTGAGCACAAGGTCCAGCATAGCACTTTTTCTTGTGTATTCCTTTACCACCTGGAAGATGAAGTTATCACCAACACATTCCAGGAATCTCTACAATTTCTGGTGCCCTACTATGCTGTCCCTCCAACAGATATCAGGGTGGTTGAAGTTCCCCATGAGTACCATGTTTTGCAAATGTGAAGCTTCTCCTATCTGTTTATAGAGGGCCTCATCCACTGGGTCTTCCTGATCAGGCAGTCTGTAGCAGATTCCCACTACAATGACTTCTTCCTCTGCATTCCCTATCTCTTTAACCCTAGCCCATAAACTGTCAGCTCCTCTTCTATCTCCAAGTGTAGTTCCAAAGACTCCAGCTGGATGTTAATGTAGAGGGCAACACCCCCTCCCTTCCACCCCTGCCTGCTTTTCCTAAAGCATTTATAGTCATCTATTTCTACATTCCAGTCATGAGAGCCATCCCACCACATCTCAGTGATACCAGTGACATCATAGCACTTTGGACACACACATGCCTGCAGCTCTTCCTGCTTGTTTTCCATGCATCAGTGTATCAATGTATTTGTATCATGTATCAGGCATTTGAGTTGGACTCCCATTGAGGCTGATTCACCAACTGGAGTTCCCTTATTCTGTACTTTAGGTGCTGTCTTACTGGCCTGTGATCCAACTCAGAAGCTCCCTCAGAAGACCAGATTTCCCAAACAAGTTCCATGACATAAATAGCCAAAGCCCTGTTCATGATACCACTCCCTTAACCATGAATTCATTTTCTTAATTCTATCAGTCATTTTCCTCCCCACTCTCCTAACTGAGAGGATTGAGCACTATCTGTGCTCCTTAGTCCTTCACTGCTGCTTCCAGCTCCTTGTAGTCCCTCTTGACATTCTCCAGGTTGCTAACAGCTGTGCCGTTGGTGCCTACATGACCCAGCAGCAGTGGGTAGTAAGTAGTCCATGGGATGTACAAGGTCTGGCAGCCTCTCTGTCACATCCTTGATGCAGGCTCCTGGCAAGCAGCAGACCTCTCTAGATAGCAGGTCAGGACAACAAATGGGTGCCCCTGTACCCCTCAGAAGATGATCACACATCGCTATCACCTTGCACTTTTTCTTAGCTGCAGTAGCTGCTATGTAATGGGGAACAGTCTGACTGCCTCGCTCAGCTCTGATGACTTACCTGTTAGAGTTTCTTGTTCCTTCTCAGTCTGCAGAACCACAAAGCAGTTCTGCAGAGGCACCTCTGAATTTGGGGCAGGCTTGTTCCTCCTGTTAGTCTTTCTTGTGGCAATATGCCATTTCTCATCACTGTTGCCTTTCCCTCCAACTGGATGTGCCAATGGAGAAGTTCGGGGCTGTTTGGCTCTGGACTGTGGATTCAATGCAGACTGCATGTGAATCCGGCTGTCTTCTTCTAGCTCTGCCTCCCTGATAGCATGCAGCTTTTTGACTGTCTCCTGCAGCTCAGCCACCTGTTGCAGGAGGTCCTGCACCTGGGCACATCTTACATAGGCGAGTTTGCCTCTCACCTCTGCTCCTGGAGCAAGGTCCAGGCACCTTCCACAGATCACGATCTGCACAGCTGCTTCTTCCTTTAGCAGCTCTGAGTGGAGGCACTGATTGTGTCCAGGGTAGGTTGTGCACACTCCCCTGCCAGAGCTACAGCCTTAGCTTGGCATCACGTGCTCACCATTCTGCTTTGAGGGTTGGCTGGAGTGATGCTAGCTATAGGATCACTTCGCTTTCTTGGTATTTCTCTGGCAAAAGAAACCCCCCCAGACCCCCTTGTACCTCGAGATCAGTTGCTGCAGATCTGGCTTGGCTGGCTCTGAAGCAGCTGCTCTTGACTCATTGAGTTGAGATTTTTCGTTGTGAGGCAGCTGGCAGTATCTGAACTGCCCAGGCAACTACTAGCAGCCTTCTTGAAGAAAGATTTTCTTCAGCTTACCTTGTAATGATAAATAAACAAACAGAAAAACCTTACAGATTATAAAACATTTTGAGGGTGTTCATTTTGCTTCTTTTATGGTTGCAGGTCACTCTATATGGTGGCCTTGCCTTTCTTTTTTAACTTGCTATCCTCTCTATGATAAAAAAGGAAATCTAGGACTCTGCTTAAAACAAAATTTGTAAAGTAGTTACATGAATCCTAAGGAAGGGTTTCTTTTCCACGAAGCATTTCCCAGTTGTTTCTCAATAATTCTTAACCAATGATCTCATTTCTCATGTTAAATAAAGCTTGTGAGCTTTTTTTCCCTTACGATTGCATGAAATTTCTCATAGAAGATGAAGTTATATACAGATATATGCAAGAGATCTTTATCCTCTGATCACAAAAAATTCTATTGACTTGCCAAGTAAATTCCTGCTGGGACTGCTTCACTGGCGTGTCAAAAATGCTTAAAAAAAAAAAAAAAAAAAGTGGAATATCCCCATAATTTTCCTTTAAAGAAAAGAAAGGAACTGTTCCCAAATTGTAAGGTTAATATCAAAAACTATTATGCAATATATGAACATACACACATGCACATATGCATGGCATCTAGCATATGAAGACAAACAGCTGTGAAAGAAATGCAAAAAATCTACTGTCCCTGTCATTTGTCCCCTGCCAAATATGCTTTATGTCATCTCTATGGATTTTAGTACTTTTTTATTCATGTCATTTATAGTGCTTTGGTTACTGATGAACCCTGAAGATAAGGAGGTGCTCAAAATTTGTTTTGTACAGATATTCTGTAACTTTTGCAGAGTGACTTCTTGTATTTTTTTCTCAGCAATTAATTCTTCTAGAATATAGAAAATATTTAAGAAAAACGTCAATGAATTAGTGCAGAGAAGAAAAGTGAGACTCCAGCTAGAAAAGCATTTCTGTGTCAAATTATGGTTAATCAGGATCAAAAAAGAGAGAAGAAAAAGAGGAAAAATCATTCCCTTTAGTGCCTAATGCATTAAAGCATTTGGGCATCAAATACAGCAAATAAAGTGTCTTGTTTCCAATGCTGTGTGTGCACAGACCGGTCAGATCACTATTTTCCAGAAGTCCTGATCTCTGCTGGTAAGAAAGGTTACAGAGCAGTCTGTTAACCTTTGTGCCATGGTCTTGTTACTCCCATCCAGGGATGGCTCAGAGGAGAGTTTTCCCTTCTAGAGAAATAGTCCAGACACAATGCCAAGCTGAAACCACCCTGGGAAGTATGAATTTCTGCGTGGACTGTTAATATAAAAATTTGGTTTCACTCCAACTACTCCTGTCAACAGTGCTAAACCTTGGTAGGGATATCCCTAGTACCACCCATGGAAATGAAGGTTTTTCAGTGCCTACCAGAGTAGGATGTATCTTAGCAGGAACTTCAAAATATTTAACTTATCCTGTTTAGCATTGCCTCCTGAAACCTAAACCAGCATCAGCTGTTTAAACCTCTTTGCATGTTTCTGTTCACTACGTA